AAAAAAAATGAGTTTTAATAATTTGACAAAGCAAGTTTTTTATATGCTACAAAAAGATGCTACCTTAATAACCGTCATATTAGTTGATTCTTAGGAAATTCTTTGTACTTCCAAAAGGCATCTGAGCAAAGTTCCTCTTTGCTTTAATAATGTATATCACTCTGATGCATCAAAACCAGTAATTTCTATTTTTCCAATAAAAAAATCACAAAACCTATATTTTTCATCAGAAAATATCAATATACAACTGATTTGTTAACTGTTGTGTTTTTTAGTTTGATATAATAACTGGGTTTGTTTCCATCCCAGGAGGGCACCACCCTGCTTTTTAAAACAGAAACGGCACTTTGGAGGGGAGGACGTCCGGCAGCGTCAACGCGCACGCCAAGGCAAGCTGCGCGCCCGTCGGCGCGCGCACGAGGCTTCCGCGACGAGGAGCCCCGAGCTCGCTCTCGGTGGGGATCCAGCCGCTCCTCTCGGGCGGGCGGGAAAGGAGGGCCGGGAGCAGTGCTCCGCCCGCGCAGCCGCAGGTCACCCAGGGCGGCTCACTGCCTCTCCGCAGTCGCTGCCCTGGCACGTGGCAGGCCACGAAAGGAAGCCTGGCACCTAGGGGCCTCTCCACTTAACTTCCGCATCTTATTTTCACATTGTGAGAGTAAAAGCTCAAAAGTAAATGCAATAGAAGCCCAACCTATACACGCACTTTTCCGAAGAACACTAACTGAAAGTGAAACCCCGGCGCCCGCCCGCCCGCGCCCGCCCGCCCGGGCTCTTCTGTCTCCGGCTCTACACCGGGGCGGTAACGCTCTGCAAACGCCTCCGCACTGCCCAAGTGACCGCAGACATGCGCAAGTGTAACGGTAATGAGAGAGCAATTTAAATAAACCCATTTCACAAACCCTGTAAGTAAAATAGATCAGATTAGACAAACTTACTGGAAGGTGACAGTACAGCTCATTTGATAAAGCAGTTCTGAGAGATCCAAAAATACCATTTCTTTAAGAAAAATAAATACATGAAAACAGTTGGACTAACAATAAATAATGCACAATTTGGCTTGATCAAACACTTCATTAATTTTTTTCTGCCCTGAAGGGCCTGCCCTTTAAAATCGGCTCTGAATGGGGTGGAAAGCTCCTTGCGCCCGCCCGCCCGCCCCGCGCGCCCGCCCGCGGGCCGCAGGGTTCTTGGTTCAACAGCGCCACCTAGCGGCGCAGGCCGCGCTTCCCTCAGGTCTCTGGCTGTTTCAAACGCTGACTACCCAGCTACAGTTTCTGGTTCGCAACTCTCCTAATAATACGAAAGGGCAAATTGTACAAAAATATCGTAACTTGCAGATTTGTGCAATCTTTATGCTACATATAATAAAAATTATGTGATATACAAATATTATTATAATACTTTAAATGAAGGTACCTTCGTGATTTCTTCAGAAGTTCGCTGGAAGTCCCGAACAGTTCGACAGTAAAATCCTATTGTACAGCTAGGATCCATTTTTCGAAAGGACATCTTTTTGGGAGAAGGGCAGTGGAATGTCTGCAATTTTTAAAGTTCTTTATGATTAATGTACCTTTACTTGATGGACTTAACTATGTACAAGAACATTATTTAAAATTTAAACTCCAGCTTCTCAAAATAAGTACAATTTTAAGTAGTATTTGGTCCCTCCCACGCACCACAGCTGTAAAATTCAAGAGCCAACCCTGTATTTAATCCCCCAATCTCCACATTCTGTAACATTAGGGTTCTGCTGCAAAAGGAACACAGTCTGTCCAGAGCAGCCCACGAAGGGAGGGAAACGGGCCGCCGAAGGCGACAGGCCAGGCTCCGAGGGGCCATCAGCCACTTCAGCGCTCCTGCGATTAAGTCACTTGCTAGATTCTCTTTCTTTCTTTCTTTCTTTCTTTCTTTCTTTCTTTCTTTCTTTCTTTCTTTCTTTCTTTCTATGCTTAAAAACTCCTAGCCATGCAAGTAATGTAAACATTATGTGCTGCAACCCTGTACTAATAAAAATAAAATAAACGACTTTTACAGTCCTAGAAATGTCCTGTCTTGGTATGCAAAGAAATCAATTTAAGCATTTAACAGCTGACACCCTTAGTACGTGATGGGGCCTTCTCCCAACTGGCCCTCCCGGGACACGGCCCCTTTAGTTCCAGCTGACTCCCGCTCAGGCCACAGCACGGGTCTGGAGGTCACCCCGCGAAGGCCCTGCCTCCTTCCCTGTCCTCCTGACTCCCCTCAGATGGTCACAGTGCCCCGTAAACGTGCTGAGCAGGCGGCCGAGGCCGCCCCTCTTGTAGCCCGTTGTGGCTGCCAGGAGGGAGAAGAAATAACCAATGCTAGCCACCCCGCCCTTCTGTTCTCTACCATCCTGCCCCGATTGTATCTAAAACTCTTAAAGCTTGAGTACATGGGTATTCTAGCCTCAAATATCAGCCATGCTACCAAGCATTTTTCTTTTTTTTGTATTTAGGACAGGGTGTACAGGTCTCACTGCGTAGACCGGACTCGTCATGATCCGCCTGTTTACGGCCTCCCAAGAGCTGAGATGACAGGTGCGTGCCACCACGCCCAGACTCAGTCGCCGTCTTATTGAGCCCCAGGGGAGCAGCCAGCACGGCAGGCCTGGGGATTGAATCCAGGTCCCTCCGTCTGCCTAAGCAGGCACTTCAATCTGCTGAGCTATCTGGCCAGCCCCCTCTATGAGTTATTTTTTAAGTTTATGTAAAAATGGAAAGACATGAAACCATATACATTATTATTTATATTTGCATAACCTGCCAGGATATGCAAAAATCACATTTAGGGGACAGGGAGAGAGCTGGGCAAATGGAAGGCAAGTGTGGGAAATTCTTTATGTTGTATTTTATGTTTCTGAATTGAAGAACAAGTCCAACTAAGAGGCAACCTAGGCTGCATTTGAACCCATGAACTTAGTATTCCCTATATTCAAGCCTTAAGACTCTCGAGTGTGGTGGCACACACCTGCAATCCCAGCACTCGGCACTCACGGCGCTCACGAGGCTGAGACAGGAGGATGGTTGCAAGTTTGAGGCCAGCCTGGGCTACAAAGTGAGTTCAAAACCAGCCTGAACTGCATGTTCAGACCCTGCCTCAAAATGCAAATAAATAAATAAATAAATAAATATCTTAAGACTAAGAGATTTTGAGATGAAATTCTTCACTCCAACACAGAAAAGGAAGATGGGTATGATGGCTGGAGGGCAGCGTGCCTCCACGGCAACTTGGCCAGGCTGTCTCACCAACAAAAAATGAACAGGCTGGGTTCTAACTCACGGCCAAGGCCCAGAGTTTACTCTCCAGTTCGGCTACGTTTACGGGACGCCAGTCTCCTCTCTCCCTGTCTGCTAGCAACCCAGCCACAGCACCGCTTCCCCAGAGGAGAGCGAAGTGCGATGAGCGAGCTGCCTTCCCCTGGGGACAGTCCAACTGCATGTCACACTGGAATCCACCAGTCTGCCAGGAAACAGGCCAAGCCAAGGGGTGTCTCAAACCTCTGACTTCTACAAAACACTCAGCTAACATTTACTTTATGTAGTGAGATTCAACCTAGCTAAACTAGAAGCTGCAGGACATTGGTCAACACAAGTATTGCCTTATTGGACTGTTCCAAATTTGTTTTACCTGTTTTATTTGCAAAGAGATATTAAAAATAGATCTGGAGGAGCACAGAATTACTAAGGAAACTTGTTAGTTAACAATATATAGGAGTAAAGGCATAATTAAGTCAGTTTTAAGAAACTAGAGGCCTGGCCAAATAGCTCAGCGGATTAAAGCACCCGCAAGCAGGCGCAGGGGCCAGGGGTTTCGATCCCTGGCCTGCCGTGCCAGCCCCATCACTGGGGCATGCTGAGATAGTGAATGAGACTGAGTGTGGTGGTGCGCGCCTGTAATCCCAGCACTTGGGAGGCTGTAAACAGGCGGATCACTATGAGTTTGATCTAGTAGTGAGACCCTAAACACCCTGTAGAGCCTTCCCTAAAATACAGGGAAAAAAAAAAAAAAAAAAGAAATTATTCTGCATATAAGGTGCTGAAAAATAGCCATTTGCCCAAGGCACCCTCATGCTAGTCACAAGGAATGTTTCTTCAGTGTGTACTAACTGTGGATAAAGAAGACAATCAAAAAGTTTGATTTGTCTCTGAAGGCATCTTCTAATACCATAAAGCACTGACTAAAGGTTGCAGGTAGAAACCAAGGACACTGGGTTTGCTTCTACTTTGGTAAATACCGCCTAAATCATCATAGATAATGAGATGCACAGAGTCATTATTTGTCACTATTTTGACACCTACAGAGAACTTCCTCCATTATTCCCAGGAGCACAGGCATCCACTGCGGAGTGTGAGAACGGAGGGTGCTGCCGGGCGCTGCTGCCCTCACCCCAGAACTTGGAGAGGCTCTCCCGTGACGGCAGACTCAGGCCACCGTGCCCTGTTCACTCAGGACTCCGAAGTCTTCATACCTCAGGATCCCCCAGAATTATTGCAAAGCAAAGCACACTTCTAAGTACTTGCTGAAGTACTACCACGGAGACACACTCACTTTCTGATAACTCTTTGAGCTGTGTATTTCTGAGTTCTTGTTAATTTTCAGAAATCTGCTGTCTGGGAAGAATAGCAGTTTCACTTCACATGCTAGCTCGTGTTCTCTACATACACTTCTGTGACAATGAAATTTATTTTGGATAAAATATGGAAAGTCGATTTTCATTTATTTCATTTTTCAGTACACTTCGTTGCCCAAGACATAGTTAACTAGGCACCTACTAAATGCCAGGCACTACTGTGCACTTCTTATTTATAATGGTGGATTCTATTATCTAAGCATTCAGCTGAAGATCTCTGCGGCACCCGCCCCCGCTTCCACTGGTGTGATGCACAAAGGGTCATCTTTTCGCTGACAACGTCACTCACCACCTACCTGATAACTGCCGCGGCATTTCTGGACCTACTAGGACAGGTTAAAGTCACTGCCGCCATGCGAATAATCCATAACCTGGTACTCAGATCTGGGGACACGGCAAGCAGAGCTGATGAACAGACTTCCCCAACCTTTTAGGACTGGGTATTTACAGGCGTGAGCAGCTGCCATTCTGAAAGTCTATATAAACAACAGCGCCAATAATCTCACTTAGGAAAGTTAATCATTAATTGTGTGTGCATGCGTTTGAAGTACACACCCACACCTACAAAGTTACATATGATGTTTGCTGCACCTCTGTGGGTATACCTATCCACAACTATGCAAGTGCACATAGCGTGTGCACGCACGCACGCTCACACGCACCCTCGCTCGCACACTAGCTCCCTCACCACACTACAACACTGTACGGGTCAGCCCTTCCCCAACCTGGACAGTGGAAAAGGACCACTCCACACCCCCTCACTGCAAAGCCCTGCCTGATTCTTCCAATTCTCCTCTAACTTTGCACCTGGAAGGTGTTCAGTAAATGACAGTGAGAAAGGAGTTGTGCAGATTCAGTTTCAAAGTGTTAAAAAACTCCAGAAGTCTAGAAATTTGATACAGAAGGAATAATAACAAATGATATAATCCATTTAAATCTCTTCTTCAGTCTTAAATATTCCGATATTCTATTTAAAATTTCACAACTCAGTTGGATCAGAACTATAACCAACTATTTAAATAGACATGGATAGGGGATTTAAGATTTCAATTTCTCCCTCTATTGGCCAAAAAGAAGTATTGATCAAAAAAACGTAGCCTACAAAATTGAATTTCACAACTGAAGTATGAAGGTGGCTTGAGAAAGTGCACACAATCTAATAGCTCAGTCTCAAAACGCCCGCAGCGTATCCACATACAACCAAGACAGCACAGCAAGGGTGGCTGGTAACAGAGTGGCTCAAGCACCTCTGCTTAAAGCATTATGAACCTGAGATATGACAAAAACCAGAAAGTAAAATTGTATTCTTATATAAAGACAGACAACGTGCTGTGATTTTTACATATTCTAGGAAATAAATGATGCTACTAGCTAAATGATCTAAGATAAATCGCTGTACTAAAGAAAGCAAAACACTCCTGACAGAAATTCTACAACCTCAAAAATAAAACATCTAGGGGCCAGGGAGATGGCTCAGTGGAATAAGTGCTTCCCTGGCAAGCACCAGGGCCTGAGTTCAATCCCCGGTTCTGAAGGGAAAAAAAAAAAAAATCTAGACCCCTACCAGTGTTCTTGGCAATGAGGGCAGCCTGTCACCTCCACTGGCTGTGGGCCCCCAGGGGACTGGCAAAGCACACAGCAGAGTGTCTAAGGGTCACAGAGGCGGTGCAGCCTTAGGGTCCATGCCTACCCTTCACCTTCCTCTCGGACGTTGCTCCCCCGTTCTGCTTCGTGGCAGCCAGGAGCTAAGCCTCTGTGCACCACGGCACCTTCCACCACGACCTCTCGTGGTGGAGCCGGTAACCACAGCTGCCACCTCTGAGCCAAATTAAATCCATCTGCCTTTAGGTTGTGGGTATCAGGTATTATGGTCGCCGCCACAAGAAAGATGACCCACACGGTATTCTACTGTAAAAGGCGTAAGTTCTGTGCACTCAAGTTACCCCATTTCACCAAATTTAACTTTCCACAGTGAAATCTTTAAAGCAAATCTTCCTTTCCTTCTTTACTACCTCCCTTCACACTTTAAGCATTCTTTCACTCAAGCCCAAAGGGCTACAAGTCCTATAATAAACAACAATGCCTGTGGTCCCAATTGTGTAGGCACAAGCAAGATAATTTTTGATTTGGCAGTTGCAGAACATCTCAAAATATCCAGTGGATCTCTACTCATCAAAATAATCAAGATCAGGGCTGGTGAGATGGCTCAGTGGTCTAAAGCACCTACTTAGAACAAGCTAAGCTCAAGCAAAGCACAGAGACCTCGGTTCAATCCCCCAGCACCACATGC